AAAAAAAAATAGAACTAATCTATATTTCAGAGAACGATTATTTCAAACTAAACTACCTAGACTATTGTGAAAATGATCATCGAAAAAAAATATTCAAAACAAAAATTGTTCCTATATCAATTGCAGCAAATAAATGGAGAAGATTCACAACAATCGCCGCTGCATGCTACATTATAAAATGTAAAGCACGCCTCTTTGACGATAGAAAAGAATTGGGATGATTGTCTATATATCCACTTGCATGCCAAGCATATCTTAACATTCGTCGAAAAACAGGAGAGCATGGTTGGTTGTAAATGAGAGACTGACTGCGAATTATATTATTACGTTCGCTTAAATTGACATTAACCTCGTCAAACTATACTCGATCAAATATACGACGTGCAATGTATTTGTGCTGATTGTTGTAAAGTCGTTGAAGTTCTTTGATACCGGCATAAACACCTGTATTGTCGCCTTAATCAGAACAAAAATCGGAAATGAGAAGACTACGATGTGACGATTCAAAAGGAAGCAAGATGCGATTTCGCTAATATTTGACTAGATTAGTTGTGAGTTTTCCGAACTTACTACACGATACCACAATATTAGGAGCTTCGAATAGACGAACCTGAAATAGTCAATAATCATGAAGATGTGTCTTTTGAATTATATTTAGACGAGAAACAAAGATCATTAAATACAAGCAACTCACTTTAATTTTTTCGCTCAAATAACCAGATGGCTCCCTCAAACAAAGAAAGAGTGGGTCAACAAGTTTGCCACTGAGGCTAATGTATGGCTGCATTGTGAATGAATGTGTGGTAGCATTCTTCGCATGAATAGATAAAGCAGTAGGTTTTTCTCCTCTGTGAGAAAGTATACGAGTTGAAGAAAGCTCAATTTGAATATCAGATTGATCTGTATTAATCACATAATCTGGATCGTATTTCGGTAAAAGCTTGCGTACAGTTGACACAAAATTGCCTGCAGAATGTTGAGTTTCTTCTTGATTTGCTACTTTTCTGGTTGTTGTTACCTAAAACAGAATACAGTTTCTTTTTTTTCAATCCAATAAGACAGGTATCTTAAGACTTTTTCCTTTATATTTCACTCGACAGTTCTGCTATTTATACTTGACTAACTGACACATTTTTTATAAAATTAGAGTTTTATGAAAAAACCAAAATTAAAAAAGCATTTATCCACCAGATTGAAAACCAGAACTATATAAAATGACGGAAAAGGTGAAGACGGCTTGTAATATGGTCAGTGAATTGAATTTCAGAAAGTAAAAAAACCAATCTTTTTTTCTTAATCTAGATACTTAGAAAAAATAATTATTCTTTTGTAGACAACAAACACAAGTCACTCACTTTAGTTACTTTTCTTGAACTTATATATATATATATATATTGTATTTTAAAATTAAACAACCACTTTTCTAAAGCAATAGAGTCATGGAGTGATTCTTGTTCAGCTTTTTTTAAAGTCCAGCGGCGTATATCGAGATCGTGGATGAACAGACGGACAGAATGCTAAAGCTGTCGTTTCTATCTCCTCAAACTTCTACTTTCCATATCCGTACTCAAACCTGTATCTTTGCTGTTGGTACTTTGCTCGTACTCATCAGTTTTGTATTCGTATTCAAATACGAGTACGAGTATCTGACGCGCGAATTGCAGTATTCTAGTTCTGATATTTATTACGATCTTTTTGTCGGTTCTTTAAGCATTTTTCACGAACTTTTTCAATTAAATTTATCGTGATCAGCATTTTCAAAAGAGCAACTTATCAGAATTTTATGAAGCATCATTTTAGAATAAATCAACTATATAAAAAGTATATCAGTGATTTAATACAAGCAAAAGAACAGTAATTATATTTGTGCAAATAGACTTATTCAAACAAACTTTTGGAAACTGAACATTTCTGGACAGAGAGAAAGAGTCAAAAGATGCTATTTTTATATAAACCATCTTTATAGATGATTCTGATATATGAAAAAGTTGTATCACTCTAGATTCAGATAAGAAACATAAGCATGCGCACGTAGTTGGTAAAAACTGACTCGTGTTTATTTAAGATTTGTTTTACGTCATATGAGTGATGTCATATTGATGGTGTAATGACTGTCTTGACTAGATAAATAAACGAGATTATTTTATATAAAAAGCAAAAGCTATCTACGGTGTCTATCAATAGAACTAAACGAGAACGAATGCAAAGCTTAAGTGACAATCAAGAGAAATCTTTTTTGAATCTTATCGTACAAACTTCATCAAAAGGATTGGTTTTCCTTCGACGTTTAGAGACGAAAAATCTTTTTCGATCACGTCTTGCATTACAGTTGACATTATCTCAAATAACTAAATTATCAAATCAATTTAATTTATCGTCAAAAGAAATTGAAGGATGGTATGAACGTTTTATTTGTTGTTATCCATATGGTTATGTTTCATTTCAAGAATTTCTAATTTATTTAAAACAATTAAATATTTATAGAGAAAATCAACAACATCAATTGTCAAAATCATTGATTAAACAACTATTCTATACTTTGGATATAAATAATGATAAACAATTAAATTTTGAAGAATTTTTTCAATTCAATTTATTAATTAATCAAGGAACAGATGAAGATAAACTTAAATTAATATTAAATTTACATGATCGACAACAGAATTATTACACACAACAAGATATTGTAAATATTTTAACAAATATGTTTGCTTTATTCAATATTCCTACACTAGAAAATAATTTATCACAAAGGATCAATACAATTTTAACATATGCTGATATGGATAATAAAAAGGCGAAAATCTGTTGGAATACATTTTGTACATATGTTCTGAATAATTCATCTTCACTGGAACTTTTATTATCAAATCAGTTGAATAGCGAAGATTTTTAAGAAAAGTTAATAACACCATGTTGACTATTTTTGAATTTCATTTTCATTTTTTTAATTTTTCTATTAATAAATAATAGTAATCCTTTGTAAATAATTGAAAATATATTTATAAGGAAGAATTTATGATTAGACTATGGAAGTCAAAGTTATGAAATGAAAGGCTAAATTATAAAAACTATCTGTTGATCTCTTCAAAAAAGACACTGTTCTTTCAAAGATTCAGATGACAATATACTCTACTATATTATTTAGATGACAATATGTTTCACTAAGAGATTGTTTGATCAATATTCGTTTTTACATATTTTTAAAAAGATTGTGTTAAGAAATAGACACATTTTTCGTTATCTAACTACGTAGAAAGTATATCATTATTATTTTGACTAATGTTTATTCTATAAAACAAAACCCATGTGATGCGTTGATATTATTATTTATTTATTTGTTATCAACAGCTTAGTTCGTTGTTTTATTAATATTATTATTCATACTCTTTATGCTCATCGACTCTCAGATAAAAAAAATATGACGATGTTAAGAATTCATCATTAAATATTACAAGACAACAAGTATTTCATTAAAAATAAATAGGTCAATATACACATGTGATAACGTGCAGCGAAATTATTTTTCATATTCTCATATGTGTTCCGAACTTTTTGAAAACCCGCAGCGTTCATACACATAGGTATTGATTGAGTGATTATATATGTATACTGGCTTAGTTTATTTCGATGTCTATTAACGTGGTTGAGATCGAATAAATAAATAATCACCACTAGCTACTTCATTGATTGTATAATTCATCTTTGTGCACTCCATTCAATATTTGTTTAGCAATCAATTGTGAGCTGGCTTCATAACAGAAAAATATAGGAATTTGAATGCTTCATTTATATGGAATTTTTCTAACTATATTAGACATATCAAGAATCTTTTTTTTTTTTGCTAAAAAAAAATTTGTCAAAATGCCAATCTTTCAAAAACAAAACAATCATACTATAAGTTAATCACCTGAATGACAATGAAGAACGATTAATATACATATCGTATCGAACTTATTTCAAATTAATTACATAACAAATAATAATCCGTTGATGAATGGTTTCCTCATTAGAATGTATAATTAGAACTAATTTTTTTTGTTTTAATAATATACGTAAATATTTCTGCGACGATGAATAACTAAAAATTTTAGAATTGTTTCGAAAATTTGCAAATTCCAGTCTAATAGTACTTTCGATATTCTATGTTGGGCTTCAACTGACATGAAATAGTATTAGTAAACAGAATGAAGCAATTATTTATGCGAACAAGATTGACGTAGAGTCAAAAGACAATTTACGTACATAAATTAATTTGGTCTTTCTATTTGCAAAAAAAAGTAGGCGAAATTAGACGATTTTGTCACTTCTAAGTTGAACAATTATCAATCAGTCTATATCGTAAAATAAGTTTTATAGATTAGTTTGTAGAAAAAAATATAGATAATTTTTTTTTCTTTCAATTGATGAGATTTTATTCAAGTTTTAATTAGATAAACTAAAAATTTTATCAAAACATCGTTATTGTATTATCTAGGGCAGAAAATTTTTTCATGGTTGATATAATAACAGATGTAATGTGTACACTTTTTTGTTCTGACACTAGCTCTTTGAATTCATATGAACTACTTGTAAATTTCGACAATTTTGAATCAATTACAAAGGTACTCATATTAGATGTCTTAATAGCATCATTACATGCTTGTTGTTCTTGACTTTCGATGATGAAAATAATTTAGTACATTCATCAATATATTAAAAAACAATTACTCTTCACTATGTACAAATCACAGATGAGTTTGAGATCAATACTATTGAATTAGAAATTTTGAAAAAATGGATGCTATTACATATGTTCAAATCTTCTTAGTTGTATTTGTATCAAAACTTGACTAACTGTTGATTTATTGTCTAGTATTTGATCGACTGATATTCCATTCGAATAGTGTACTTGTCACAATTATCGTATCGCAAGCAATGAGTGATTATATTATAGTAAATGTATCTTATAAAACATTGTCATAGAATTCGTGACTTTTATTAATGATTAAATGATATATTTATGAATGAGTTGCACGTTGAATAAAATCTCTTAATTTTTGTCTAAAATCAGAATCGTTTGGACAATAATGTCCTCCTTTATGTGAATAAAATTCAGCTACTAACGGATTAAAATATTTATACATTTTTTCACTCATATCTGTTGTTATTAAAGTATCATTCATTCCTGAAACATGCAAAGACGGTAGCAATTGATTTTGTTTATCGAATGTTTCTAATATTGGTTTAATTGTTTCATCGTTGATTGGTGGACAACCAATAAGAATAACAAATTTAATACAACTAGGAAGAATTGGCCAATTGGGAATATTTAAAACCATTGTAGCACAAACAATTGCACCTTGAGAAAATCCTAATAAACCATCAAACGGACCATTGTTATGAATATAATTAACTATATATTCAATACTCTCTTTGATTGTATCATAATTATAGTTTGTAACTGGATATTCAGGTTTATAAGACATCCATTGATATCGTTGTTCATTCGAAGAATTATCTGATGATCTTAAGAATTCATAATCAACAAATGAAAATGGTGAATTGATAAAAACAAATTCAATATCTTTCATTGATCGAATTAAAGAACGCATTTGATATTGACGATTTTCTGCACTATCATAAAAACCGTGTAAAACTAAGATACGAGTTTTAGGTTGATCAACTTTTGCTGCCATATTTTAGTCGAAAAAGAAATAATAATTTCTTTGTGTAATTTGTCATTTTATCGATTTGTTATATGTTTTCATCCAATAAGAATATTGATGTACTATATGTCGCTTCTTGACATTCATTTTATGAAAAAGCCTTCATTACTCGAGTAAATTTTGTTACCATCGCTTTGATAGTCGCGCAAAAACGAATTATTACGAAGGAAAAAAGGAGTACTGCTTCACCTATTGGCTATGTTTAAATTGTATACTGAAGTCGATCTTATCAAATTTCATTATTAGTCAAACATCTTTGTCATTAAGAACATTTTCATCATTTTAATTTCCTAACTAGTTCACTACTAAGTTGACCTTATTTATTCAGAATATTCTTCAATATGTCGTCTCTATTAATTCAATTATCTTCACTAACGAAGAAACCTTCTTAGATATTCTCCTATACGCCAAACTTGAAAGTTGAATTCAAATGAAGAAAAGTTTCAAGTTTCAAGTCTAAACTTTCAAATAAATACGGTCTCTATCTCGATGTGGGTGCTGCGGAAACATAGGCGATTGAAATTCGAAAGTTGAAACTTAAATAGTAGTTGTTCAATGGAATTCAACTTTCATGTTTGACACTACTGATTTAACTTACGTATTGTTGCTGGATGGGTTCGATTTATGGGCAATGGTAGTACATGGTGCCTACTAACTGATCAGGAATGAGTTATTGTGATGCCTTTGTAGTAGGCTGGCTTAATGTTACATTGTCATGAATAGTGGAGACGATAGTTGCTAGATTCGTATATTGCAAACATGCTGTACATATGAATGAAAAGCCTTTTCATTCATATGTACCCACACCCACACCCTCAATAGATACTGACAGTTGTGAACTAATTATAATAGGCGATTGTCTTTTTTTGAACCTAACATGTTTAGTTGTGTCATAGACAGTTTTTACAATTATACATCAATTAATAGCTAGTTTCACATATGTTTAATGTTCTTAGATAGGATTTCATGAGACACTTCAGCTATTATGATTTATAATTACAGATAACTTGACTTGATTATCAAAAGGATGCTTCACAAAATTATCGCAATAACAAAGAATTTCTAGCTCTTGTCACCGTTTATCAGATGACTATCGAATTAACCAAAAATTTGACAGAAGCCAAGAGTTTCTGAGGTTTAACTTTCATTGAGTTATAATTAAAACAAAATTAAAAATGTTGCTCTACAGTCAGAATGCAAATCATTTTTTTCTAATGTTGTGTATAATTATTTGTACGTAAGAAATTTATGAAATAAGCCTGTTTAATTTCTCAAATCATGCCTTCTTGTCCTCATATTTCTCTCTCTTACTCAATTAACTGTTTTTTAAACAAAGCTTCTTCACGCGAAATGCGAATGATTTTAATATCGCTCTACATAAAAAGACAAAGTATCATACCATCGATTATCGACAGTTTTTATTCATAAAACTTGGTTTGAAGTGGAAACTTAAGAGATATTCTAAAAGTTCTTGACGAGATCTACTTTTCTGACTGCAAAGCTAGCGAGAAAAAAAATTGGTTTTCTTTGGACAGGTAGTACCAAAAGCTAGGTATTTGACTGTATTGCTGTAATTTCTCGAAAAGTAAAACAGATTGAAACTTGATTTTCTCAAAAGCAAATAACTATTTTTAGATCAATAAA